CCAATTTGCAGCAAATCTCAACGAGTTTCCGAACCGAGCGATAGTTACGTGCTCAAAGCCAATTGTCTGAAACATTCCGTTAAAATTATGCCAGGCCGACTTTCACTGTACAGTCGCAATAACCGCAAGAAACGTGACAGGGCACTGTCAATAGGTTACGATGCTTCGTAGTCATACCAAGTAGCTCATCGTTGTTACTTTATGGAATTAAATTGACACTTTCATACTATACGTAGTTATACTTGATTGCACATGACATCTTTTTTTAGCGTTTCAATTATTTTATATGAGAATCAGGTACACATTTTAAAACTAGAGTGTGGATGTAGGAAAATTAGATTTAAATGCAAATTTTAGCTAATTTGAAAAAATGATGGAATGTTTAAAATTAATCGTTAATACAAGTCCCTACTCACGCTTCACTTTTAGTGTTAAAAGATGTCTTTTAACGTTAAAAATTAAATATGAGTACAAGACTAAATGTTTAAAACTAATACTCATTCGATGTTTGAAACTACTAGACACAACATTCCAGTAAAATTATGTACAGTTATAACAATTGAGAGAAACACGATAGTGTAGTGTCAATGGACAACGATGCTTCGTAGTCATACCAAGTAGCTCATCGTTGTTACTTTATGGAATTAAATTGACACTTCCATGCTGTACGTAGTTATACTTGATTGCACATGAATCGCTTCTTAGCGTTTCAATTACTTTAGATGAAGATGATTAGAAATCATGTAAAAATATTTAAGGCTGAGCGTGGGAATAGAAAAATTATGTTTAAAAGTAAACCTCAGCTACATTAAAAAAAAAAACTATGAAATATTTAAAACTAATAATTATTGAATGTTTAAAATTAGTAATCATTCAATGTTTGAAGCTACAAGTCATAACATTCCAGTAAAACAATGTACAGTCATAATAATTGCGAGAAACATGATAACGTAATGTCAATGGGTTGCGATGCTTCGTAATCATACCAAGTAGCTCATCGTTGTTACTTTATCGAATTAAATTGATACTTTTATCTTGTTGGTATTTAAAAAATGCTTTACTGCGTACTGCTCTCTTTTCACTGTATCAATTAATTCTGCTGAACGGTACACAAAAACACAAATATTGTATAACGAAAGAGAAATTGCATCTAAATGCAAATCTCAGCTGCGTTTCAAAATTTTTACATGTTTAAAGCTAATCGTCTCAATGTTCCGTTAACATTATATACAGTCATAATAATTATGAGAAAAATGACAACGTTTCACTGGATCGTAAACATCAGAAAAGGAATCGTAATTGCTAACATATAGTCAGTATTACATTTACTTTTATATATTTCATTACTTCATTTAATTTCATTGAGTCCGATTAAACAATTTATTACAAAAAGGACAGGAAAAATGGGAACTTTCTTTCAATATTAATCCTTTGAATATTAAGATGTAACTGTTTAAAGTCGATTCTCCATCTCAAAAATCTCACGAAAATGATGAATTATTAAATATGCTAAAACTAAACTATTGCTCAGCCACAATCATTTCGATAAATGACGCAGTCAACGTGATGAAACGTTTCATAAATATTACCGCGTCAATCATAAAAGGGATCAACGTTATCACGCGGAATTAAATGGGTATTTTTATCCGTTTTATGTTCAAGAATAACGTTGCAGATCGCTAAATAGCTGTCTTGCTTATTTTTAAAGCTTAAAGAACTTTTCTTCTAGATTGTGTTGATTCCGATTATTCTACGCAGTGCACAATCTACATAGACACGATCAATACAAAGGTACATGGCCAACAAATATTTATACCTTCATTTTACCTACATTTTACCTACAAAGAATTTAAATTGCAACTGTGTGCGTCTTTCTTTATTAAAAAAAAAAGGACAACAATTAAAGAATTAATTGAGAATAGGTGTAATTCACGAAGGTGGAACGTTAGTATGAAAAGTGTATTACTCGTGAAATTAACGTTAATGCATATCCTTTTTTCCAAAGAAATACTTTCTCAAGACAACAAGGAAGATATCTCTTCGTTATAACTTTACGTCAAAGGTTTTGTCAACATTAACGGCGCCAGTACGAAAGATATGTTACTCGTGGAATTAACATTAATACATATCCTTTTTACCAAAGAAATACTTCCTCAAGACAACAAGGAAGATATCTCTTTGCCATAACCTTACGTCAAAGGCTTTGTCAACAACAAATCGCATCTAGTGCCAGGAATGTATGACAGAAGGTAAAAGTATGAATTTCCATTTTTAGGTTAGGTACTGGAATGTCACTGAAGTTAACAAGTTTGGTATGGGCCTTGGCCTTTGTTCCTAAAACAGTCACTCGTTCTCCTTTCATTCAAGGCTAGGATGCACCGTAAGGTCGCTGCGTAAGACCGGAAATTAGTTGCCTGATAATTCATCAGCAGTCGATGACAAATCCGATGCATACCAATTAGCGAATGTCCTTATCGAAATCAATTCTGTCATAGGCTCAACATGGAATGAAATGAAGTTTCAACCCTCGATCTTCCAAAAGCATTTGCCTCTTCGTTTAACCCCATGACTTAAAACTGCAAATTTAACAAAGAGTTAATGTCGATCGGTCAAGATTAATGTACAGTATCGATACTCTTATTAAATAAAGAAAGAGGTCAAAGAGATGCCAAGTCAATAATAATGCACGGTAACCCTTTGGCAAAAAAATGCTAGCACAAATGTGACAACGTGAGCGAAAAAGAGAAGAATGCTGCCTGTTCTGATAACGCTGCTTCACACTCACCAGAGGAATGTAATCTCGAAATTAGTCATCGGTATGACAATGCCTCTGCATGACTTGAGGGAGAAATTATAGACGAAGTAAAAGACACAACAAAGTTTGGATTAAATTCTAAAGTCTATCGTAAACACTGCTGGACCTAAATATTCCAGTATATTTCTTACAGTTTCAATTTCAAGCCGATGGAAATATTGTAACCTTCCGCATTATGAGTTCAACCTTGAAAAGATAGAAGAAATATTTAACCAGATCAACATCCACAATAAAAAGAGGTTAAGGGGACTACTTGTTTCTGCGACTCGTATCTCTTTTCGATCGTCTTGTGCACAATACATCTTGGACCTTATAATTCCAGACACTTACATAATAAAATGCCTCTAATCCACAATATATAACATCAAAGGAAGTAACATGTATTTCATATTTAATTTAAATATAATTACAATTTTGAAGGTTAACTCTAGAGAAAGATTCAAAGCAAACTTGTATACCGCAGGTGAAAGTTATGATTATCGAATTAAATCTTTTCCTCATAATGAATCACTCTTACATACCCCGGCTCGGCTCAATTTTCCTATGATTTAATTCCTCTTCACTCGTTTCCCACCACATGGAACGATCTCCACTCTAAAGTTCCCATTAAAACCGTTTGATACTTCCTATGGTAAATGTAACGTCTTTGTATTTCATAAAATCTTGCATTGATGTCTAAATATCACCTACAAAGTAATTAGAAACTTCTTCATGGAAAATCAAAGAAATGTGGTCCAGTAGGGAATATATTATGCTTAATAAGCTTCAGAAAGATTACATTACCAAATCACATAACCTATAATATATTTACAACAATATCAGAACCTACTACGAGAAAAGGAACATATCTCCAGCTTGAGAAAACTTCCAGAAAAGGATTCTTCTAAAAACATGTGCCTTTTTTAAAGAGTAAAAAGGACGATAAAAATCCTCCTTCATGATCAAGAAAAGGATGCTACGATTCCTCTTTCAAGACAAAGGTAGTAAAGGATGATAAGATTTTGTTTTCGTGCCAAAGAAGAAAAGGGTAACATTGCAGAAATGTCCCTGCTTCAAAACCTATCATAATATATATCAGTCGTCATGCACGACAAGTAGAATACTACCCATACTGCGGTTAATCAAAGCGAATTTTTCAGTAAAATGAAGGACCGCACTGACCTTGAGCTAATTATAAGTGGTCTTACTGAATTCTTTTTGTCGTAACATGTCGATTGGTATATTCTTTTTTCAGTTTTGGAATAGGGCCCTTCCTTCAATCCAACGTAATAAGTACCATCGCATAACCTACAAGCTATCTATAATAACTAAATGTAACTGCCAGAGACCCGTCTCCGCTTTGCGAAATCCTCTGCAAAATGATTCCTTCTTCAAGGCAAAAGAAGAACAGGACGATAAAATTCCTCCTATTGAGGTAAAGAGGATAATATTTTTTCCTTTAACACGTTGACTGTCAGGTGGTCATCAGTGGACGGCAACTTGCCCCGATGTCCACCGTGACGGTCAACGTATTAACCCATACCTCATAGCATGAAAATAAAATGCCAACAACGATGTAAATACTTTTACTACAGATTGAAAAGGACGACAACATTCTTTCTTTAAAGGAAAGAAAGAGAAAAAAACAGAATTTCTCCTTCAAGTCATCAAAATAAAAGAACAAGATGTTTTTCCTTCGAGAGGAAGCAAAGAACAATATGATTTCTCCATCGAGACTTGAAAGAAAAGGCCAACGAGATCCCTCCTTTAAGCCAAAGAAGGAAAGGACAACAAAATTCCTTCAAGGTGATGTAAAAAGAGGCCGATAAGACTCCTCTTTCAAGACCAAGGAAGAACAGGGCATCAAGATTCCTCTTTCGAGGAAGATTAGAAGGAAGATCAGAACACGGTTTACGTTCCTCCGATCCAAGGTTCCACCCAGTTCCAGAAGAAAGGTCCCTGACGGACGAAACCGAGCTCGAGGCAGTCTGGAGTGCGGAGAATCCATTTGAGCGAGCGCTATACAACTTCGGTATGACGTCACGCCGTCTCATGCCACTCGGTGAGTCGGCCGACAATAATTTAAGGGCCCGGCAATTACCTCGAGGCACTGGCCATTGGGTGTGGCGTCGATCGAATCACCCACTAAAACTCAACGTCCGAAACATCAAAGACCGGCCATAGGCGGAATCATATTCGTACTCACCGCGTCGGCGACGTTGAGGCAGCAAACTGTCAGCAAGAGCAGGCCGAGTTTGGCGCGTCGGTAAATTCCGCGTCCCCGGTCATCCCTTTGTAGGCCCGACGTCGTCGCCATCGTCGCAGCACTTCTCCTCGTCGACGCGTTCCTGGGCCTCCTTCACGGGTCACTTCGCGCGATCAGACACGCGACAGAGCGTGGGAACGCGGAGGTGAGAGGCGACGCCGCGCCCTCGGCGGCTCCCGGGTATCTCTACTCACGAGCGATGACGCTCCTACACCCTCCCGGGCCGCGCGCATCTACCTGCGACCTGCGCCGATTGCGACCGACTATGCGTAGTAAGTCGTTGACCGTTCGACGCGCTGGACGGGACTGGACTGAACTGCGTTTCGCTGTGCGGTAACTGTAAGGCCAGGGGTAGGGAAAACTGAGGGACGCATGCGCGAATCGACGCACGCCATTGGCCGCGAGGGTCGTTCGGTGAGGTAGGGAGGAGGTTCACATGGCGACCGACAGATGGCGCCACGGCTTAGCTCGCTTCCTGATTTATCGATAGTCGATTGTGTTCTCTCGGTTTGAATTTTTGAAGTCAGAGATGAGTTGGGAGATTGCTCACGGGCAGGATCGCGCAAACAAACCCTGTGCTGCCCTCTGATTTCGTACGTTAGCTTTCACCGTTTTTTGCCCCCAAGGGCGGCGCAACAAATTTCTGGTAGGGGCTCGCGCAATCGCGATGGCTGTG